TTCGATAGCCTTCTAATGGATCTTCTTACCTCTAATCCCTCCCGTGTCATAAATATACACTAAAAAGTTCCATCAGATCAGTAGTCCTAATAGATACATCTGATAATCTGACTCATCTAATCTGAAATTTTCCAATGATTACCCAGGAAGTAGAAAAAAATCCAAGTTCTTAAAGTTAGGATTGGGGGCAGCTAAGTGGCCCAATGGATAGAGTGCCGACCCTGGAGTCAGGAGGACCTGAGTTCAAATCTGGCCTCAGATACTTGACACTTATTAGCTGTGTGACCCTGGGCAAGTCACTTAACCCCAATTGCCTAAAACAAACAAACAAAAATATCTAATTAAAGTTGGGATTCAAGGCACTTTACAACCTAGCTCTAAGCTACCATTCCAGTCTCATCTCTATCTCTGTCTCTTTCCACATACAAACACGTATGCATATACATATACATATACACACATATTGCACCTGTCTTCCAGTCAAACTGCCATATTCTGAAAATCCCATGCTTTCCCACCTCCATACCTTTGCTTATGCTCCTTCCTATGCCCAGGCTCTCCCTCTCTGTCAGATGACACCCTCCTTTTCCTTCAAGGCTCAGTCCAAATACCACTTTTCCCATTGGTCCCAACCCTGATTTTCTCAATCAGAAATGCATAAAATATTTTTCTAACCTTTCCAAACAACTGCTTTACCTCTCTTTTACATTTTTTTCATAATTCTAGTTAGTTTTATTCGTTACGGACATGACCTGTCCCTTCTACTACATGTGAGCTCCTTGTGGGCAGGGATCATGTTATCTATTTTTTATACCCTTACTGAAGGAGGAGTTAGTCTCTTTTGTGCCATGGACCCCTTTGGCATGTGGTGAAGCCTGTGGACCCCTTCTCAGAATCATGTTTCTAAAGGCATAAAATAAAATACATAAGATTACAAAGGAAACCAGTTTTAAAGAAATAGAATTATAATATGTGTGTATATATACATATATATACATGTACATATACATATATACACATGTACACATATATATGCATATACATATACATATACATATACATATACATATACATATACATATACACATATACATCTTAACTTCAAGGACCTCAAGTTAGGAAAGCCTGCCCTAGCACAGCATCTTACATAGAATGGGTAAAATATAAATGTTTACTGCATTGGCTTAAGATCATTTTTATAGGAATGTTCACATATACACTGTAAAACTGGAAGGCTTATCCACTAATCCCAGCTTAACCCCTTTCATGCCACATGACCTTGGACAAATCACTTAATTAGAGCCTCACTCTCTTCAACTGTAAAAAGGCAAGAATCAGTTCCTACTTTGACTGAATCTTATCAAAGAATGAAAAAAAGTCTGTGAAAACTGCAAAATGCTACAACAATGTAAGGCATTGTTATTTGACTAAAGAAAAAAGAGAAATGACTCTGAAAGTTTGAACTTACTAAGGGGGCCATATTACAATGGGAATTAGGATGTAATTTTCCTACATGTAAAGGTGCCACGCCCCACCCATGTCAATTTCCTGTTGGGATGGGTGATGGCAAGGCCAGGGGGTAGGAGGGGCCACAGTACACCAGTTCCCTTCACAAACTAGGCACTGCCTTTTTTCTACTGTTCTGGGAGGTTCCTTCCAAATGATCGGCCATTTCAGATACTTGACAGCCAGCTCTTGGTCTACACTTTCACTTTCTCTTTGGCTCTGGTTTTTTAACTGAAAACAAAACACCCACCCACCCTCTCCTCCCTAAAAAAAAAAAAAAGTGTAATGAAAATGGAAAATATCACAGTTCAGGCTTTCATTGCACATTAAAGAAATAGGTGATATAAGAAACTGTTTGAGTATGGGAGCATCACACAATATGAAAGTATCATATATTTTTTTGTGTGTGTGCTTTTTTGTCCTTTGTCTTCCCACTTAGTACTATTCAGTTTCTCTGAGTTTTCACAGAAACTTTAGTTTTAGCTGGGACACAATGCTGTCCAGAGAGTGCCTAATGATGATACAGATATATAATATATAATTTTATATATATATATATACATTTATAACTATATAATATAGAATTATTAACCAGTGAAAATGCACTATTACATTCTAAAAAATAACTCACATATATCATTTACTATGTGCCTGGCACTGTGCTGCTAACAAGTGCTTTACAATTACTAACTCATTTGAGTCTCACAAGAACCTTGCGAGGTAGGTACTGCTATTATGCCCATTTTTCAGATGAGGAGAGTGAGGCAAACAGAAGCTAAGTGACTGGCCTAGAGTCACACAACTAAGTGTGATCCAGGGCCAGATTTGATGCTCTGTATTCTATGTAGAATGTATTCTCTGAAGTCTTAGAATGAATGGATATACTTTTAAAAGTATGCCAAGGAGTTCTTTTTTTGTCCCTCTCTCGATGCCTACTACAATAAGCTCAATAAATATCTGGTGAAAGAAAAATACTCTATATACAAATGATTATGAATAGGATGAGGATCCTGCCAATGCCTGGCATTGCTCAGACACTGAGGGTTTCCTTTTTTCACTCTATCCTTGCAGATCATCACAATGAAAAGAATGAAAACAATGAAAGAAGGCTAACTTTCAGATGAAAAGACACGAAGTGCTCTTTGTAGATAGCATCTTCATCTCTTCTTAAAAAGAACAGCTTATGGAAAGAGCCATTCTCTCCACCCCCACCCTCCTAGAAAGCTGTATCCTAGATTCAAAATGGAATTGTTTCTGATAGCTGTTATAAACAGAAGTATTTAGAATTCTACTGACATCTGCAATAGGCAACAAGGATGGCTTGCAATTCGATAGCAGGGTCTACCTAATTCAGTGCCTTCCAGACGGAAGGTGCTTAACAAAAGTGAACAGTCCTATTGTTCACCCTAAAAATCCCTCCTTTTCCTGAAAAGTATATACTAGCTGATCAATAAATGTTTATTGGGTGAATTAGTTAGTTGAGTGAATTAGTGAATAGTTGAGTGAATTAATAAAGCTACAGCTAACCCTAATTCCAATGGTCAACCTTCCCTCTAGCTTTTAAGTCATGCACAGATGACTGCATCGTATGGTTAGATGTCCAAGTCACATGACCAACATCCTATGAACACTGAGCATGTGTACATTCACAGAGAGTATCAAATATATAGCAAATTAATTATTTTAATTACTAAATTAAACATTAATCATCACAGTCATTACTGTACTACATGGTAATTACACACAAGTAGTAAGCAATTCACATAAATGACTCTAATTAGCATTGCTTTTGTATTGCCAAACAAAATTTTTAGTTTGGTGGGGTTTTTTTTCTAATTTCTATTAGCTCTCTGGTATCTAGTTCTGGGTTTGACATCAGTTTCCTCTGACACCACCTTTGCAGTTATTGTCATACGGACACACATGTTAGAAATCAAGATTCTTACCATCTGATAACTGGGATTGCTAGCTCTCAAACCAAGCCCATGGGCTCAGTTTTCCTCTGATCCTCATGCTTCAGTTGGGATTCTTCTACTCGCTCTCCCTTCCCCCAACCACTTGAGAGGTCCTTGGGTAGCACCCTAATCATTCCCTGTTCCTGTTCTATCCTGAATGCTGAAGGAACTGAGACTCAATGGAAAAACTGGGCAATGAGGCTTTAAACTGCCCAAATTGGAGACCCCAGCCTCATTGCCATTCCTAAAATTCCTTTAAAACAGGGTTTCTTAACCTGAGGACCGGGAACTTGTTTCTTGAATATTTTCATAACTTTCAATTTCAATAAAATCAGTTTTCTTTAACAACATTCTGAGAAGAGTTGTATTAATTTCACCAGACTGTCAAAAGGGTCCATGAAACAAAAAAAGGTTAAGAACTCTTGTTTCATAAATTTATAAAAATATGTAAAGAAATTCTTGTTTTATAAAATTTATAAATATCATTCCATAATTAGAGAAAAGAGGCTCAAAACATTCAAATGTGACCAAGAAAGTGAATGGTATGAATGAGCTTTGGCTAACAGGATAAATGATACTGTAAGATCCTTACTTAACTTGAAGGAAGGGTAGGGGTGGGGTCAGAAGGCAGAGGGGCATTGAATACATAGAAATGAAGGCTTGAGGACAGAATGCCACTGACAGAGGAAACTTGCAAAAGGAATTAACTAGATTAGAGACTTGCTTCTCCACTTGAGGTTTTTACTGAGTGCTTTTCCAAAAGGAAAAGTATTTTATGTTCTGGAAACTCAGATGATAATCATAAGTGCTGTTCTTAAATTATGAAACAAATACCAAAATTTTCAAAATGACTCCAACAATTTGGTATTATGCCCACTGACTCAGATTAATACCACCAGCATCAGAAAGAAAAGACACCCACAAAATGAATAAAGTAAGATGCTATTGTCTTATTATGAAAATAAGACAAATTAATTTTTATGAAAGTTAACAACCTTAATACAATCAAGGAATATTAGGATATATGGATGATAAGACTAAAATTCATGTGATATAAGTCGTTACTTGTTTAGGATGTCCTTTTCAATAAATATTTGCATTTATGTCACTGAATCTCTATGGTGAAAGTGTAAAGGTCAAGATTTTGCTCCATAAATGTGAAGGCAGTGCTAACCTATGCAACTCAATAAAGTACATTTTCTTACACTAATTATACTATTTTTAAGATAACTGAAAACCACTGAAATTGAACAAAGTGAAAATGTATTCATAACCAAAATAATATAAATGATCTAAAAACCACACTTAATGGAAATACTAATAACATTTTTACATCATCCTCCTTTAACAGAATATAAGTCCTAGATGTCACCAACCACCTTTGTTTTAAGCAAAATTTTTATGTGGACAGATAAGAGTAAGTATTTGGCCTGTTGCATTTTAAGAAGACCAATCCCTGTTTCTGCTCACAGGTCATCAAATCTCCCAGAATTAACAACCACAAGGCATAATCTGGTAGTAAAAGAACCACAAACTTACTTTAACTTGTGGGTATGATTTCTTGTTCTTTTCACTAGAAGCACCAGGAAGTCCTCCATGGGATGGTCCTTCACACACATAACGGAAACGAAATCCCCTCTGCAAAGATTAACATAAAACAAACTGTTGTAAAAAAATGCTGATCTAAAGAATTACGACAACAGGTAAAAAAAACACTTTAAGGTTCTTATGGCAATTGACTACAAGTGGGAAGTGACAAGAAAATTTATAATCATGATTGCTTAACTTGGTTGTTGTCCTTAGTTTTGGAAGAGGACCAAAATGGCATCACTATGCTACAGTCAAGTTTTAGTGTGTCCGACTATGGGTGATCAGACCTATTCAAGCTTGGAACGCTCTACCACAGGTTGGGCACAAAGAGTTCACGTGAACATCTGGGGCAAATTCTCTAAGTCTGCACATCTTGAGTTTCTTTTGAGCGACTTCAAATTCTGTTTCGCTCGTAGAGCACAACACCTTCTCTGATGTGGGCACGCCATGCTGAGCGGACTTGTGCCAGTGTCTCCCATGTCACCAAATCAATTCCAAAGTTCTTAGGAGAGACCTTAGGAGTCTCCTTGTATCACTTCTTCTGACCACCATGTGAACGCTTGCTCTGTGTGAGTTCTCCACAAAATATTCTTTTTGGCAAGCGTGTGTTTTCCCTTCAAACAATGTGGCCAGCCCATCGGAGTGACGCTCTCTGAAATAGAGTTTGAATGCTTGGCAGTTTAGTTCGAGAAGATCTCAGTGTCTGGTACCTTATCCTGCCGGCTGATCTTCAGAATCTTCCTAAGATAATTCAAACGGAAGCAATTCAATTTCCTGGCATGGTGCTGGTATACTGTCTAGGTTTCACTTAATTCAGAGTGAACTGCCATCTTAACGAAGTCATACTGCTTTAAGTAGATTTAAGGAAACAAAGAAAAATATACTCTGGTACCATCAATGAGAATGGACATCTGATATCAATTTATATGGAGGCAGTGAGGTGGCACAGTGGATAGAGGGCTGGGCCTGGAGTCAGGAAGACCTCAGCTCAAATCCAGTCTCAGACACTGAAGAGCTATGTGATTCTGAGTAAATCGTTTAATCTCTGCTTGACTTAATCCACTGGAGAAGGAAACGGCAAATCACTTTAGTACCTTGTCAAGAAAACCCCAAGGACAATATGGTCCATGGGGACATGAAGAGTCAGACGTGACACAGGAACAACAAATTAATTACATCTGGTTCTCTTCCATTTCCACCACTTTACGTAGCTAAGTGGGTAGAAGACAAAGCATGGAAATCAGGAAGACCCAAGTTCAAATTCTGCCTCAGAAACTTACTAGAATGTGTGACCTTGTGTTATTTAACTTTTCTGTGCCTCTGCTTCCTCACCTGTAAAATGGGGATAGTATCTAATAATCACACTCACATTAAAGGGTTATTTAAAGGATCAAATGTATAAATATTAACTGTTATTAAAGGTATAAACATTGTCCTTATTAACAAAAGTTCCTGATCCAATTTATTGCTATTGCCTTCTCTCTACTGATTATCTCCAATTTATTCTAGTTTGGACATTTGCATGTGATCTCTCCCATTAAACTGTGAGAGCAGGGACTACAGCCTGCTTTTCCTTGGAGTGGCACATAGTAGGAACTTAATAAATGCTCTCTGACCATTATTAGACTTGTATCTATCTTCTTCCTCTGGTAGTTTTCTTCAAGTGTTTGAAAGGCTGTTTCTGCCTTACTCAAGACGTTTCATCTCTTTTGGACTTGTATTGCTAACTTTGGCCCAGAGCTTTGCATACAAGAAATGCTTCTAAATACTTTCCATCCATCCATCCATCCATCCATCCATCCATCCATCCATCCATCCATCCATCCATTCATTAAAAGATGGTTTGGGGATAAGCTTGATGTAGACTCCTAATGGAATTCTCAAAGGAACCCCAAATCCCCCAAGAGGAAAATTGTTCTATTTTGGCATCAGAGTGAGTAGAAAACATGCTAAATTTGGAGTGTCAGGTTTGAATAGCAATAGAAGCTCTATCATTATTTGTGTTAACCAACTTGGTAGTAAAGTGTGACAAGTGACTTGGAGGTCATTTACCCTTGTTGGACCTCAGCCTGCACATCTGTCAAATTAAGAGTTAGCTTGGATGACTTCTCAGGTCTTTTTCAGGTATAAATCTGTGATCATAATTGACATGGCAAAGAAAAATTAAATGATATGAAAGGTCATTTTCTATCTCCTAAGGTGGAGGCGATTAGCCTGTACAGCAATATAAGCTTAAATTCTAAAAAGCACTTTGGATTTTTGTTTGTTACTGTTGAATCATTTCAATCATGTCCAACTCCTCATGACCCCAATTGGGGTTTTCTTGGCAAAGATACTGGAGCAGTTTGCCATTACCTTTTCCTTCTCCAATTCATTCCACAGATGAGGGAACTGAGGCAAACAGGATTAAGTGACTTGTCCAGGGTCATACAGCTAGTAAGTGTCTGAGGCCAGATTTGAACTCAGGATGATGAGTCTTCCTGACTCCAAGCCCAACCCTCACGACGCCATCATGAATGCACTATGTTTCCTCATCTGTAAAATGACAGGGGTGAACTAGGTTTTCACTAATAGTCTCTTCCAGTCTCAAAATTCTATGATTCTAAATAACTAATATACAAGTACTTATGCATTTATGTGTATGAGTGTGAGAAGTGAGAAGGGAGGGACAGAGAATGAGAATGATTTCATTTAGGAAAAGATATGGGGAGATAAAATAAATCGGATTCCCCACCAACACCATTACCAATCCCTATTCTTTCCAGCTTCCTTTTGTGTATTATCTTTCTCCGTTAGATTGTAAGCTCCTTGAAGGCAGGGACTTTTTCTTTTTATTATTTGTATCCCCAGCTTAGCACAGTGCCTGACACATAGTAGATAGTAGCTAGGCACTTAATAAATGTTTACTGAACCCAATTGAATTGCCCCTCCCCTCAGCTGGAAGGTAGTCTAATAGACTCCAGTGTCTCCCCAGAATCTAGAATTGCACAGAAGCGGCATATAGCTAGAATTCTAGTTTTACCATTTACTTGCCATGGAATCCTGGCCAAGGCCTCTCTAGGCCTCTGATTCCTCCAGTATAAATGAGACAATTGGACCAGATGACTTCTAACCCTTCCACTTCTATACTGATGCTTTCCAAAATCCCACCAATGTAAAAATCTTCCCTGAAGCTTTGACATCCCATCAATTTAGATACTTCCAGTAACAGAGCAATCAGCATGTCATATACCCACCCAAGCTGGAAGAGCAGGTTGGGATCAGTTTGTGAAGCATTTTAATGCTACATAAAGGGACTTACATTTTATCTTAGAATTAACTGGGAGTCAGAGTTTGAGGAGGGGAGAAAGAGATGCGGTCAGATCTGTGCAGAAAAACAATCACCTTGGCAGCTATATGGAGGATGTTTTTAGTGAGAACACATGAAGTGGGGAGAAGAATTTCAGAAGGCTATTGCAATAGTTCAGACAAGTGCCTGAACTAAAATGTTGGCTATATTAATAGAGAGAAGGGGATGGATGCAAAAGATCTTGTGTAAATGACAAGATTTAACAACATTACAAACACTTAAAGGCGAGCTGGAAGTCATTGGAATTGGCCAACACTAAATAACATAATAAAAAGTGAAGTTGACTATGTTTATGAACCTTTAAGTGTTATATAAATGTAAGTAAACAGACAGGAAATTAATTGTCTATGTTACAGTCGGTAGATCCTGTCTGGTTAGAGCGAAGTTCAAAATAAACACTAAATTGGAAGGAAGTATACAGATGAAAAGATAGCATTGCATTGGGTTACAACAGCTCCAACCTGACCTGTTTAAACTTTTCCTAGAAAAGTTTAACCACTGAAAAACAGCTGTCACAGCAAAGAGAACATAAGCAAACCCAGAAACGTCCTCAGCCAACAATCTCTTTACTAAGTGGACAGTTATTGCAGCCAAAGGTAACTGTGATGTAGATTGTGAATTCACGTCGAAAACATTACAAATTATTAAAAAAAAACCAAACAGTTGAAAAGAAAAGAAGCTTGAAGAACTTTGGTGTTAAGACTCAGTTAAGCTAGATCACCTTGAGGATAGGTGTTAACCAAAACGGAATGACACCAAACAGATGTGAAATGAAACAGAACTGCCAATATGTTATGGTAACATATTTTCATTAGCAACAATAATAGGTCTACATATTTCAATCCTATGACCTCAATACTATAAAAGGAAACCAGGAAGTTACTTAAGAGGCTGAACCTGGCCAAATACATACAGAAATAACTCCTACAAAAGGCAAAGCAAACATCTAATGTGTTCAGGGATCAATATTTAGGACATCTTTAAAATATCAGAGGAGACTGCAAAATAATGAAAGGGATCATAGATAGATCACTATATCCCCAAAAAGCAATTAAGGGGGGCAGGTAGGTGGCACAATGGATAGAGCTCCAGCCTTGGAGTCAGGAGGACCTGAGTTCAAATCTGGCCTCAGACACTTGACACTTACAAGCTATGTGACCGTGGGCAAAGTCACTTAACCCCGATTGCCTCACCAAAAAGCAAAAACAAAACAAGAAAGCAATTAAGAAGGCATTCATCTATAGTTCAATTTCTATTCTCTAAAGAAATTCCTTGTGAGAAACATCTATATACCCACTGAGTAGATTTCTGACAACATGAAATGGGAAAAGATGGGCTTTGAAGATTATTTTTTGTAAAAGATCCCATAATTATGATCACTAAACTCACTGCAGCATAGAGACCCAACTACACTTGAAAAAAAACATTGAGAAAGTGACACATCAACAAAAACTAATAAAAACATAAATAAAAACTTTTTTTAAAAAGAGTACTTGACTTAATGGGCAGCTAGGTGGCACAACGGATAAAGCTCCAGGCCTGGAGTCAGGAAGACTCATCTTCCTTAGTTCAAATCTGGCCTCAGATACTTATTAGCTATGTGGTGCTGGGCAAGTCACTTAGCCCTGTTTGTCTCAGTTCTTCATCCATAAAATGAGCTAGAGAAGGAAACAGTAAACCACTCCAGTATCTTTGCCAA